GAAGCTGGGCCAGCGTGACACTGGGTGGGAGAGGGTCCAGGATGACAGCGGGCAGCACCGCTGCTGAGACCTGCAGAAGCTGGGCCAGCGTGACAAAGGGGCACTCTGTCTCCCTGAGAACACTTCCTGGGAGGGCAGCCACAGGTGCACGGGGTACCACGCTAGAGAAGCTTTACACATGCACACTGAAACTTTGAGTTTGATGTGATTCTCCCACGTCAAAGTCCTGCTCTCTTAATCTTCCCATGGGGAAAGTCCTACACATTCCGAAGAGCCAAGAAGCTGAGAAGCGAGGAGGGCCTGGCCCTGAAACTGGACCCCAGCCACTGCCTCAGCCCCAGGGCCCCTGCTGTCCCCAGCTCGCCCAGGCCGGCCTCGGTCTCCCTGTCCTCCCTGGGCTCCATCTCTCACCTTAGTGTGATTGGGCCTTTCGTCTCAGTGGGGTGCAGTGTGAGCCCAGTTTAGGAATGCCTCGAGGAACGCTCAGGTGGGGAGGGTGTTTCCGCCTCCAGACACATTTCTGATCACTATGGGACACTTGCACCTATTTGTGGGGCGAAGTGTGATGATTGGTACCGCATGCAGTGCGTGGCCATCAAACCAGGGTCATTCACAGTTCTGTCTCCCTGCAGGCTGCTGGGAGCCTCAGCCCAGCTTGTCCCTCTGCTTACTCCTTACCGTCCCTGAGCCCTAGAATCCCTTCCTCCCCCAGCTGTCTGGGAAGCCCTCATCTGTGCCTGCTCCAGCCTCTAGCGGCCTCTTCTGTAACTCTGAGCTGCTCGGTAGCTCCACGTGGAGGGAGCGTGTGGGGTTTGCCTTTCTGCGTCTGAGTTCTCTCTCCCACCACGAACAGCTGCCGCTTCTCTTAGTGCCGAGTGCTTTTCCTCAGTGTGCACACACATCATCTGCAGAGGGAAAGGAAGCGATTGCCTGGTGCACGTGCAGGGTGGCGCTGCCTTGGGCATGGCCCAAGGCTGCTCTCCAGAAGGCCAGGAACGGGTCTGCATGTGACCCCCGTCCACCTCTGCGTCCCTATAGCCACCGGAAGTGAGATCAGCACACCAAGGAGACACCCACACGCCTTGCGGCTGCGGGGCCTCCAGTGCAGCAGCAGGAGCCCATGGCTGCAAGTCCATGTTCCAACCAAAGGGGCCTCGCTACGGCATGGTCTTGGCGCCGCTGCAGCAGGGTAGTTGTGTGCTTTCTGAGTGTTGGTGCCGTGTTACCCACAGTCTCAGCAGCCAGCTTGCGCTATCCCAGCCACAACCCCAGTGCCTCAGTTCAGCCAACTTGTGAGCAAGGAGGAGGGCAGCGGGTGCTTCTCTCCCCACTCAGAGATGTGGACAGTGTAGACCATCAGCCTCCTTCCGCCTGGGGTGTGAGCACGAGTCCTCTGAGCTTGCCCCTCATCTCTAAGATGCAAGAGACAGTTACAGTGACTGGATCTGGCAGGGGGACTGAGGATCAGTGAGGATGCCCACCAGTGGCCGCAAGGGCCCTCCTGCGGTGGCACCCAGTGGCTGTTCACCGTCACCAGCCCCAGGGCACAAGGGGATCCTCTTGCCCCCAGCTACTCTGCCTCAGAAACTCCAGGGTTTCTGTCCTGCCTGTCCCATGGGTCCTGGCGGCCCCACGTGCGGGGTCATGGGCAGATCACAAGGAAGGCCCTCGCCCACCCTGGGCGCCTTGTGGTTTAGGGATGGGATCCACCACAGCTCCGTAATGGATCTTCCTGTCTTTGATCACAGTGGCCACACAGAGATCCTCTTACACTCAGCCCAGAGGACCACAGAGCAGAGCATAAATTACAGAGCTGGTGTCCAGCAAGGGTCCTGTCCTCCAGGACACGGGGCTTGGGGGCCCTGGTTTCTGGGTGGCAGACTTTCCCAGACCCCCATCTGGCCAGCCCCATAGGGTATCGGTTGGACAGTGCTTCCCCCGCAGCAGCCCCGGGTCACTGCCCTGGGCCCTGTGGGTGTCACCCCTGAGTGGCACCATTCCCCACACATTCACAGGCGCTGCTTGAGCCATGGGTCTCCGAGCTCCAGGAACAAGGACAGGCTCCCTCTGTGCTGCCTTCGGTCTTTGCAGGCCCTGTCTGCTGCTGCCTCCACCCCCAGGGATACACACAGTGTTTTTCTTTTAAACCAGCGATCAGAAGTCCCCTAAGGCCCCTGGGACCTGACCTGCACTGTGCCCTGCATTGAAACACCTCAGCAGGCCACTGGGGAGCCAGATCGCAGTGCTGAAGAGGAGGAGCCCAGGTCCGTGGGTGGTGGCACGGGCTGAGCACCACGCTGTGCTCCAGCTGTGCCTGGACAGTTCCACATCAGCCACTCAGCCCCGCGCCCCATGAAATGGCGGTGTTGTGTTGGCCCTAGTCTCTCTCGGTGATGCAGAGCACAGAATCTTTCCCAAGCTCTGAGGCTCAGCTCTTTGTTCCCCTGAGCAGCTTAGGAGGCCTGCAAAGAGGCCTGGGTGTGTGCGACCTTGGGTCTGGCACCATGCTGTCTTGCCCCCAGCCAGCCTGCAGACAGCCGCCTTGGCGTGTGGTGTGGTTGGCCCAGTCTGGACTCGGGATCCGCTTGCTGTAGAGACGGCCGCCTTGGCGTGTCATGTGGTTGGCTTCAGTCTTGACTCGGGATCCGCTTGCTGTAGAGACAGCAGCCCTGGCGTGTGGTGTGGTTGGCCCAGTCTGGACTCGGGATCCGCTTGCTGTAGAGACAGCCG